AACATAATTGTATATAGTTCTTAGTGTTTTTAGTAGTCTCTCTATAGTTAGTGTAGACTAGTTTTTCCCTGCCCTGAGACTCTCTCTGTTTCCCCCCTCGGGGGACTGTGCCCAGAGTTCTGGATTTAAGAACTGTCTCCTGTCCTCCCTCCATCTCGGTCAGCAGTGACCACCAGCACTATCTTTACTGCTCTGAGGAGGCTCATATCTCCTCCAAGTGAAATATCTGCTTCTCCTTCCCTCCCCGGACCTGAGAGGGACAACAGCTCTATCTGAGGAAGTACCTGATGGACAAAGCTAGGAGACTCCAGTCATATCCAGGCCCTTGAGCAGCGCTCCTCCGAGCACTAGCTTCAGGGCAGAGGCCAGATCTAATAAAGCCAAAGACCCATTGTCTTGGGTTCTCATGAGAGTAGGGGATGCTCTCACTGACACAAGAACAGATCCCCTTCTGGATTTGCTCCCAAGAGAAAGGGTCCCTCCCCAACTCCATCCAAATCTGGTGAGTCCTCATACTCCAGTCCTAAAGACCTAGGCCCATGCAAGCCACCCAATCACGAGGGTAAGGCACTCCGGAGCAAGAAACCAAAGGTAACAACTCCGGTACCAGTTAGTAAACTGAAGAATCAGTATCTGCCAGCACCGACAAAGAGCTCCAGGCAGAACTCTTCTCCCTTAAACGGTACGAGCCCGATCCTGTAAGTACCTGCTAACCACTAAGCCCATGGATACACCAGATCCAACAATACCGATTACCAGGACCAGGGTAGATTGAGATTTATACCTTCCTGGAGGATATCTTCACTCTTCTGTACCCACAATCTCCTCTGCTTTCAGGTCCAGTCCTTCTGAGGAATGTTTCAACACCAGAAGTGGAATCCACCTCAGGGAAAGAGAGCTGCTTCCCTACTCCATCCACAAGCAAGCAGCGACAGTACTACCATGGAACTAGATTCTACCTTTTCCTCAATCTAATGTTCAGGATGAACCATCACCTCCATAAATGAAGGTTAGCCTGGACAGGGCTTCTAGACTTTTCTGGACTCATCCTCCAACCAGACAAAGACAACTGGGACCTGATGCCTTCGAGTCCTCCCAGCCAGCCTTCACAATATACTGGCCCTGTTGGGGTCCATGGGATATGCATGGCACCCTGCATCTGTGTGAGAGTCTCACAAGCCCTCTTCCCCCAGACAATAGCAACAGGCTCTGCCGGAGTATACAGAGGAGAAAGATGTCGAGAGCCAGATCCACTGGTACCAGCGTTACTCATGTGTGTATCATCATCCTCACCCAATGGGCAATTGCCCCATCTTTGCCATCCCCACCTGGTGACCAGAGACAATACAAGAACTCTTGCAGATGGTGACATCTGAACCTCAGATCCCATTTGAGGAAGTTAATGGCATGCAGCATACACTCTTGGACATCCTACAGCCCAGTGGACCCAATCAGGTAGCTCTGCCAGGCTTTCATCGAACCAGCCAGGGTGGTATAGCACACGCTTGCGTCATGCATCTGTATTCCCAAAGTAGCTGAGAGATGATACTTTGTCCCTGAAAAGGGGCAGAATTTTTGTTCACCCATCCTGCCCCCAACTTCCTAGTAGCACAAGCAGTTGTAGAAAGATCTGGGCAACCACACTCCAAGACCACATCTGTGGACAAGGGCACTAAACACCTTGAACTTCTGGGGAGAAAAGCGGTCATATCCACCAGCGTCCAGTTTAGAATCATTAACTTCCAGGCCCTGTTAGCTAAGTATGATTTTATGAACTACTTCATATTCTTGGAGTTTAAAGATACACGTCTTCAGGAGGAAAGGGCCCAATTCCCAAATCTTTGTTGACAAGGGTAGACTCATGGCAACAACTTGACTCCATGCTGCGGTTGACGTGGCTGATACCACATCTAGAGCAACCACAGTAGTATTGTGGAGTGAATCATGGCTTCTCTGTTCAGGGTTCAAGGTTCAGAACAACATCAAGCATTTACCCTTTGACCCAGCTAATCTCTCTATTGAAAAGACAGTCAATTCTTTGCACTAGTTATGACTCCAGGTCAACCCTCCACTCCATAGGCATTTATACTCAGGCCCCAAAGAAGAAACATCATAAACAGGTGTATATATCAATGCCTCTTCTACAACCTTTCTACCACTAACGACCATATGCACCACCACGTAATTATCAGACATTGCAAAGACCAAGGTATGCAGCTCCATCCACCTCAACGTCAGCCACCCAATCTCATCCACCGGCTAAAGGTCACTTTTGACAGGACGTTCAAGAGTTGCCGGCCATCATTGACACCATGCTCATCTATTTCCCAAACCTTTGGTGGCTGCCTAGTGTTCATTTGTAAAGGTGCCAACTTGGAGTTGCATCCATCCCTTCACGAAGTCCAAGCCACTTCTGAAAATGCAGCCTTTGGAACGGCAGCATTACAGTAATCTATATCGCCTGCATCTTTGCACCCCCCGACGACTGCTTACCAGTCACCCACATTTGGAGTACACATAGGGACCAGCTCACAAAGAAGAAGAGGAGGTTACTTACCTATAATTAGATGCTCTTCAAGATGTGTGGTCTCGCTCTGTATTCCACTACCCTCCCGCTTTCCCTTCTGCTTCAGATCATGATTGAATTAATGATTGAGAAGGAATGGTCTGAAAGATTTTAGAATTAGTAGATCTCATCTTCTTGTACTTTGTTTTTAGTTATTGCTTGGATATAGAAAACAAGCTTTCCTGATTTTTCAACTGCCAGTTTCTCAACTTTGACTGCAGTAGTCATTGAACTGAACCAATTGAATAAGTTGAAATGAAGAAAATATTCTCGCTGCAGAAGAGACTACTGCTATCAAAAGCTGGTTTAGCCCTTCAGCAAGCTGGTTCCAGGTGCTTAGCCAGTGACAGCTACCAGTTCAGTGATTTGACTTTCTTTAAACTTCAGCAGCAAATACAGACTGCTTAATATTATTTGTTAATTTGAATGGTTTGAATACATTATAGCAAGTTTAAGCCTTAACATAGATTGTCAATTTCAAATTTAATTTTAAATAGGTTTATTTTTTAAAAAATATTTGAATTAAATAATCTTAACTTTAAATCATTTTTTAAATTTAAAATAAAAAAATCTGATTTTTATTTATATATTTATTTATTTTGAATAAGTAATTTTTATCCACCTTTCCAACAAGTGTCTAAACTAGATTTCCGAGCGAGAACAAGGAGAGAGGCTTTTGGGGAGGAAAATAAAATGGTTCTTATAACTATTGCAGTGCTCCTTTTTGGCTATTAATAAAAACGGGACTTGCATACAATGTTAACTACTTAATAATTAGGCTTGGCAGGATTAGATTTTTTTCAGTGAATGTTGATTTCACCATATAAACACAAACTGATGAAAAAACATCTCCATCAATGATGATAGAAATGTACAAATAGGCAAAGTAAGTACTTACTAGAGTTTGTTTGAAGGATAATACTTTGTATATTTTGACATTTGATGTTGACAGTTTGTGTTTTTTAACAGTTGTAAAGCTGTAACTTTTTGAATCGCAACTTCTGTCATTAAATAAATATTATCTAACCCCCCATAATTGCTTGCAACTGTGAACATTTAAATTAATACAAATAGAAAAAATGCTTAAAACTCATAATTTTGCATAACTGTGAAAATTGAAATAGATAAACATTTAAAAAATTGATCATGGGCTCTTCAGGCTAGAAGACAAAGCTATAATGAGATCCAACGGCTGGAAGTTCAAGCTAGAAGAATTCAGGCTGAAAAGTCGGTGCCCGTTTTTTACAATTAGGGTAATTAGCCACTAGAACAGCTTACCAAGGGTTGTGGTGGATTTGTCCATCACTGGCAATTTTTCAATCAAGGTTGGATTCTCCCCATCCCTCCTTCTCCCAGAAGACATGCTCTGGTTCAAACATGAATGAATTCTGGGAAGTCTGTGTTATTTACTCTGACCTCCTGGAGGATCACAGCGGTCCCCTCTGGCTGTAGCATCTTTGAAACTACGAATCCTGCCAAACCTATTAATAATAATAATGCTTTTTGTGATGTTTTCCACTCCTAGATTCCAAAGTGCTTTACAAAGGTGGGTCAGCGTCATTATCCCCCATTTTACAGATGGGGGAACTGAGGTCCAGAGAGGTTCATGCCAGAATTTCCAAAGGAGGGGCCTGATCCAAAGTGCCTTTTCTTTAAATTCAGTGGGCTTTGGATCAGGTCTTCCTAGTTGTCTTACATAAAAGCCTAAAGTGAAATGCATGATGTGGAGACTCTGTGCTACACTGCCCTCTAGTGGGTGGAATGAGAGCTGATGAAATGCTTGCTTTGAATTTATAATGCTCCCCCCCTCCAAAAAAGTTGTAATGTTTTAAATTGAAAAACATCTATTCTTTTCACTCTGCTCTTACCCACAAAGGGCTAAAAGGATTTCCCTTAAACCTAACAAGAATTACTCCTGGGCTTGAGACCAAGCATGGAACGTTTCACCCCAAAAGGAGGATTTTTAAGGAAGTTCTCAGGATGTAAAAGCAGGTCCAAGTGGAAGCCAGAATAAACCTTTACTCTTACTATGCCCCCCCCCCCGCCCCATCTGCAGGAGAGAGGCTCCCTCCAGTAGAGATTTCAGTCACTGCAGATGGAATTCAGTCCACTTGCAAATAGCCTGGGGACTCAGGCTCTGCGTGTGAGCAGCGTGGAGGGCAGCCGGAGAAGCAAACCCGCAGCCGGAGGCCAGGATGTGGGGAAATGGAAGCACAGAGACGTTTAGGTCACTTGCCAGTGACAGAGCAGGGAAAGGAACTCAGAGGTCATGATGCCTGATCCCTGGTTTAATCACCAGGCAGTATTTCCTGACTATGAAGTGAAGTGTGGCCATCTATGGTACTGGAAGAGCCATGGGCTGTAGAGGGAGAACAAGTGAGGGCATTATGGGTTGGCCTGATTTCCCATCCCCTCTCTTTCTCTCATTTCACAGGCAATTCCCCCTCTGACGAGTCCGAGGAGCGAGAGCGGGACCCCAAGGTTCTCACCTTCCCCGAATACATCACCAGCCTGTCGGAGTCGGGCACCAAGCGGATGGCAGCTGGGGTCCGCATGGAGTGCCAGAGCAGAGGCCGCTGCCCCTCCTCATGCCCGCTTTGCCATGTGACTTCAAGCCCAGACACGCCAGCCGAGCCAATTCTGCTGGAGGTCACCAAAGCAGCGCCCATCTATGAGCTGGTCACCAACAACCAAACCCAGAGGGTGAGGAGCCAGTTGCTGAGAAAGGGGTAGAATGTGGCAGGGTTGTGATTGGCTGAGCTGAGGTTATTAGCAGCGAATGACTCTGGCAGGCCTGGAATGACAAACAGCCCTTGTGTGGCATGACCGGCTGGCAGCATTGCCACTTGCCTTTCCACCTCTCCTTATTGAGCCAGCCTGGTGTTTGCCACGTGGAGCACGTAAGTACAGCTTAAAGGGGTGTAGCACGTGGTGAGGAACTGCCAGAGAGCGTCCCAGAGACAGGCATCTGCCTTGGCGGGGCTGTGTGAGGTCACCATAGACCAGGCACTTGGCATGCTGCCATCCAGCTTATCAGGTCAGAGCACCAGCCACCATTCAGCATGCGCGGGAGTAAACAGACCCAGGCCTGGCTCAGCAATTGCCACTTGAAACCAGCTGCAGATGGGTGAAGGCTGAACGCCTCTGCCCCACCCCATGAATGGCCCCCATCCCTTTTGACTTCTCTCTGTGTCCCCTCTTTGCCAGGAGGTCTCAGAGCTCCCAGCTGCTGGCAGTGCGCTCAGGGCTGTGTGGGGAGCGGCATGCACAGAAAGTTACAGGGTTTCAGATGCCAGCGGCACAGCGGGTGATGAGGGTGGGGTGTCGTTCTTGCTTGCCTGGCCCTAACCCTCCTTCTCTATCTCAGCTGTTGCAGGAGGCCACCATGAGCACCCTGTGGTGTTCCGGGAGTGGGGATGTCATTGAAGACTGGTGCCGGTGTGACTCGAGTGCTTTTGGCGCCGACGGGCTCCCAACCTGTGCACCCCTCCCACACCCAGTGTACGTCTCTCCCACACTGATTTCACCCCCCTCCGCAGAGATTATTCCTCTTGAAGGGGACTTCGGTGCTGGTGCAAGGTGCTGGAGCCAGAGGCCCAGAACCAGCGTGTAGCTGGAAGCCAGGTGGCGGCAGCAGCTTGAGCTTCCCCCGCTCCACCCTGTAGAAGGCCTTGATCCCTGACCCTGAGTGACGACCTTCTGGCGTGCGGGGGAGTTGTGTGGCATAAAGGTTTCAGCAGCACTCGTTTGAAACCAGCTGCCTTCCCCAGGCAGGGCTGGGCAGTCTCAGAAATCAGTGGGACATCTGCACACATGAAAACTACACCAGGCTTGACTTGTGCTGCAGCTTTCCTCCCCAGTGCAGGAGCAACTTAGGCACAGGATGGGCTGGATGAGGAGGGGAAGCAGCTGTCCCTGACCTCTGTGCACTGGCTATTCTGGGCTGCAGGCAGCCATGCAAGGCTCCCACCGGTCACCTTTGCCCCCCACCCTACGGATCATGTCTTCACAGCCCTGCTTCCTGGGCGGCACAGGGCATAACCCAGCCAGTGAGGACATTGAGTCTCCAGTAGCTCAGAGGGAGCAATGGGTGGAGCCAGCCCCACACTGAAGAGGGTTGGGAAGAAAAGAATGGCACTGTTAGGGACGGGCGGGAGCTGCCTATTCACAGGGTCTGACCCTCCTTGGTTTTCCCTCTTCCTCAGGCTGCGGCTCTCCACGGTGCACGAGCCGAGCAGCACCTTGGTGGTGTTGGAATGGGAGCACTCAGAGCCGCCAATTGGAGTGCAGATCGTCGATTACCTCATCCGTCAGGAGAAGATCACCGACCGAATGGATCATTCCAAAGTGGAGACCGGTGAGGACAGTGACGGAGGGTGCTGCTCCTGCAGCAGCCAGAACTGGGCTCTGCTCGGGCTCCTCCTTTGCTCTGGGGGCGGGGTGGCACTGGCAACCAATAATGTTCATTCCTGGCTGGATGAGGAACACACTTATCACAGCTCTGCCTTTTGCAGCATTGGCTTGGTAGCAAAGGGTGAAATCAAGAGCAGAATGCTTTCAATGGTGGGGGGTGGGCCCCCATCCAGCAAAGTACTTAAGCCCAGGCTGAACTTTAAGCCCATGCTTAAATACTTTGCTGGATTGGGGAAAACAGCTGCCTGTTTTCACTTACTTGCAGCATTCCGAAATCCGTCTCTTCTTGGTCTGAAAGCCTGCACCCTAAATTCCTCCCCAAGGTTATTTCTGAACTCCATGTATCTGTTTTCATTCCGAAATCCTGTGCCTCTGCTCAGGAGAGGAGACTTCATTCCCTCGACCTCAGATGTTCCTTAGCGTTCTACCTGCAGAGAACCAAATCTATCAGAAAATCACCTAGGCTATTTCTTGCCATAGCGCAAAGGTCACTGGGACGAGCTATATCCTCTCAGGGAATCTCTAAATGGATTCCTGGGTGCATCATGGTGTGCTCCCAATTAGCATATAGCACTCCACCAGAGCACACGCTGCCTCTCCAGCATCCTTGCAGGAAGTACCATTACCGGACACATGCAGAGCGGCAGACTGGAGTTCCAGTCACACATTCCCAAAACAGAACACACCAGTTCGGGCCTCGGCTGTGGATGCAGCCGTGGGAACTGCAGTGCTTCAACACATCTGTCTTACCAGCATCTTCGCACCCTCCTCCTGACAGAATACACTTGCCCACCGCCCACGCGTGGGATACACATAGGAACCAGCGCTCGAAGAAGAAGTGGAGATTACTTAGCCGTAACTGGAGGTTCTTTGAAATGTGTGGTCCCTGTCTATATTCCACTGCCCGCCCTCCTTCCCCTCTGCTTCCGATCCTACTGGATTCGTGGTAAGAACAGGAACCGGAGAGGCGTCAACCTGCACTGGCTCTTATTCCTTCAGTCTGGGGGACGAGGAGAACTGTGCGGGCCAACGGACACCACTTGTTAGCATTTCCAGCCTCAGGCACAAGGCATGCATCCCCACCCACGTGTGGAATACAGACAGGGACCACACGCATCTCAAAGAACAGCCGGTTACAGGCAAGTAACCTTCATTCACAATCACACCAGTCTCCATCCTCACTTCTTAGGCTGGAGACTCAGTGATTGTGAGGCTATTTGTATTTCTGTGTCTGCAACGGGGACACTAAGGCTTTTCCTCGAAAGCTCCATAGAACTTCCACTTGCCCCCTAGCAGAGAGGTCACCGGCCTAAGAGCCTTGATCGTGTGCTGCAGCTCAGGGTCAAGGCAGGACACAAGAGCAACATAAACATTTTTCCTACTTTTCCCACCAATCCATTTCCTCCCCTTCCATAGCTCCCAATTGGCTAATCTCACACGGGAGGCAGTGCACGATGCATCACTCCAAATCACCAATAGTCAGCCTGTTACAAGGTCCTTTCCTCATTGCTCCTGACCCTCCAGGAAATGTCTGATCCATCACTAGGTATTGGGCTCAGTTGGCCAGTCTTGTGACCTATTGTAGCCTCTCCTCGCCCATCATCCCCTGCTTAGGTTCTGGGGCATGGGAAGATAATTGCCTAAAATCTCCTTTTCCCCTCTTTCCCTAGAGACAGTGCTGAGTTTAGTGGATGACATCATCTCCGGAGCCAAATCCCCCTGTGCGATGCCGGCACAAGTACCCGACAAGCTGTCCACCACCATCTCCTTGATCATTCGCTGCCTGGAGCCTGACACCACCTACACGTGAGTGACGCTGCCTCTAATTGGCTACGCCCAACCTCGTGTGTAACACTGCCGCTTCTGATTGGCTACTCCCAAGCTTTCTCCTCATCTTTTTGGGGGGCCTGGAGAAAGGGAGCATTCATTCTCCATTCTCTTGCGTGGCAAGCACCCCCCTATTGGTTCATGCTGGATGTGCTCCTGGAACTATACACAAATATTAAATTATCATCACCACCGTGTTGGCTAAGCTTGCCAGGGCTGTCCACTCAGCTGGACAGCATTTCCCTGTCGGTGACGCGATAACTCTTGAATGCCGCATTTGATCGAGTCCGGAAAAAGTTCGAGACTTCAAGGGCCAGAACTCTATTGATTTTTGGGAAAATGGGGAAACCAAAATGGGGACAAATGGATGGAGCCCCATCAGCTGTTCAGTAAAGCCCCAGCTTCATGCACCTCTGCAGGTGTCTGAAGACCAAAGAACTGTTTGATGGCACCTGTTAATGTCTTCAAGCCAACCCATCTCATCTGTGCCTACCTACCACTAGGGTTTAACATGCTTACACCCTGAATGATTCTTCTCCCAGACAGAAGGAATAATGGTGGAGGAAGGGGAGTGGGAGGGAACACAGGCCCTTGCATGAGGGAAGGGGCAGACAAAGCCCCTGGCAAACGGGGTGAGGGAGATTGGCGTGATTAGGGATGTGGGGCATACAGAGCAGCTGGCATGGGCAGAGGAAGAATGGGGAACCCTGGTATGGGAGGAGGTAATGAGGGGCACCCAGAGCCCATGGATGAAGGAGTCTCTGAAATAGATTGGGGTGGAGGGCGGCACACAGAGAGGTTATGAAGGGCAAGGAGCCCCTGGTGTACGCCAGGAGCTGCGCCTACATAGGCTGCGAAGGGTGCATCCCCCTCGGTTTTTTATCCCCCCAGTGGAGAGGGGAATCCAGGCACAGCAGCATGTGGGTATCCCCCTCACCTGCACTGGAGGGTTATTTCGCATTTGCAGTCATGGCCCAGCTGCTGATGGCAACGCCGGGCTCCGTGGATCTGTAGATTCAGAGATTGAAGTCCAGCAGCAGCCACGCATGGCAGCGTTGGAAAGATCCTTACACCTGCTTGATGGTATTGTGCAGCCTCACCTTCTGCCAGGCCCACAGTATGACTCCAGTCCACATGGGATGTAGACTCTCACTGAGCGCTTGGACTGATGCCTGACTTACCTACAGCCCCACTCCCCTAGCTGCAATGGAGGAGGCTTATGATGCGGTCGCACCAAGGCTGCTGTAATTCTGTTCTTTCCTTGTCACCTCCTCCAAGGCTGGGCCCAGGGTGGAGTTTACGCACAGTGAGCACCTCAGATGGCATCAGATGGAGACAGCAGGCTCTTCGTATGTTAGCTGGCTCTTCCCTGCTGCTGGCCGGGGCTCTGCTCTGCATCATGCGCCAGGGTTCTGTGAATTGGCAGGGCTGTCAGTGCCCCGAGTACCAGCCCCAGCAGAGAGCTGCCTGCACTAGCCTGAGGTCACTGTGCTGCAAAGGGGATGCCAAGCCTCTTGTATTGAGTTCTCACCTCCCACTGGGTCTGCATGGAAAAGCAGCACAGGCCAGTTTGGGGCACCTGTGTCAAGCAGAGCGAAGTGATGTGCATGGTAGGCCAGCCCCTTACCTCCTAGGCAATTAGTTGCATACATTCCTCTTGATGGGGGTCTGCCGTGTGCACCTGCATGTGTGAGCTCCAGATTCCCCAGTCTGTCAGTCGTCTCCGTGCTGTGATAACATCTCCCCTCTCCCCCAGGTTCACGCTTTGGGGAGTTGATAACACGGGGAGACGCTCCAGGTCAAGTGATGTGACGGTCAAGACCCCATGCCCAGTGGTAGATGATGTGAAGGCTCAAGGTAACAGTGGGGGTGCTTAAGGGGGTGCCCTCCCCCCGGCAAAGCCCTGGTCTGACATGCTGGACTTCACTGCAGTGGATTGTCAGAGCATGGTTAAGCAGAACACAGAGCAGGCGAACCCCCACTCTTTTTTTGTTGGGCTAATTGAAGAGAGATGCCCAAGCCAAACCATGGGTGTAAACGGCCCTGAAGTTGGGTGGAATCCAGATCCTGGTTGTTTTTGGCGTCTCTGTAATGGGCGCACCTGAAACTCCAGAATTGAACACCCCTATAAACACTGGTGGTGTTTGGATCCGGATTGAAGCTTCTCAGATCCAGCCTGTTATCTGTCTGGTTCAGACTGCAAGACCCTTGCGGTAGGAATTTTGGCCCAGATCCTCAATGGGAACTAGGCACCTAAACATCTCTGAGGTTCTGGGCCTTTGTCGTCATCTTTGTCCATGCCTACCTACAGCACTGCATTAGTAAATAATGACCATAAAGCGTGATGAGAACGAAGCACCCTCTTGGGGCTCCATGCGTCTGATCTCAAAGGTTATGGGGACTTTGGAGGCTCTTGATGTAATTATTGCCTGAGGATGCACGGCTGCTTCTCTTTGTTCATGCTGGGACAGAACCTTGTTAGAGGCAGTGGGAATCAGGTCAATACATCTAGATTGTGCAGGTGGAATGAGTGTGTTTGTTTAAAAATAACATCTCATTCTGCTTGGATGGGAGGTAATGGGAAGTATTGTTCTGAGTACGGGATGGGATGACTGGTGATGGGGGTGACAGCCCTACTCTTCTGAATAAACCAGTTCAGATCCCACTCAGCAGTAATCAAGTGGTTCCCTCATGATGGCTGTCGGTTAGGTGGCCTCTCCCAAGCATCAGATCTCGGCCCCATTCCCATTACTACAGCAATAATTTGCTGCCCCAATAGACAGCATCATCCATTTACGGCTCTCAGAGTGTGGTGTCTTGCCCGAAAACCAAGCACCAGAGCCAGCAGTAATTGGAAGCCTGATTCACTAGAGAGACCAGGGTGTGAATGGTTGCAGGAACTGTAGCTGGAGTCCCTCCAGGTTAGGATCGAAGCTGATGGGAGGGTGAGTGGATGGAAACTTGCCTGGCCGTTGGTTGTTCAGGCTGATGGTGAAGTGTTAGAAAAGTTCCCAAAGGGTTGGCCATGTCTATGGCTAGTACAAAAAAATAGAGTCCATGAGTCTGACGGGAATAGAAGCCCTCCTGCTTCAGGGCATAAGCCAGCCGTAGTGATGGGGGTTAGGAGGCATCTTCACCAGGGCCGGATTAACTTTTTCTGGGCCCAGCGCCAAACATTTGTGGGCCCCCCCGGGAATAATTGTAAAAGGGGCCAGGAGTAAAAACACAGTGGGGCAGGAGCTAGGGTTGGTCGCTGGAGCATGGGAGGGATCAGGAGTAAACTGCAAGCGCAGCAGGGCTGGGGAGGGGGTAAACAGGATCCCCGTCCCTGCCCCTGCCCACATAGAGCGGGTACCTACCTGGTTCTAGCCCATTCTCTTTGTCTCTCTCTGCATTGAGCTGCCCCTCCTCCCACAGCAGCAGGAGAGGTTCTCTTCCAGCCCTCTGGGGTGGGTGTTGGGAGTGGGAGGAGCGGAGGCTAATGTGGTTACTCCTATAACCGGACATTTAGTTTCTAGTCAGCACTGCTAACCAGACACTCAGGTCCCATTTTCTACTGGAGTTTCCAGTCTAAAACTGGATACCTGGCAATAGGGCTGCCAGAAGAGCCTGAGGGGGGGAGAGGGGCAAGCAATCATTTTTAAAAGTAAGAGGGCTAAGCCTTAAGGGTGGGGGGCAAGTGGTGGATGGGCTAGGGAGTGGAGAGGAGCTAGTGGGCAGGGCCATGTCTGCTGTACTGCCCAGGTAGGTTGGATACTGTGGGGATCTGCTGACACAGTATCCAGAGCCGGTGCAAGGATATTTTGCACCCTAGGTGAAACTTCCACCTTGCAACCCCCCTGGAGCATCGCTTATTATAAATTTTCAAAAATGAGTACAGTGGAGTCACATCTTACGCGGGTGTTAGGTTCTAAGGTCAGTGCGTAAGAGGAAAATCGCGTATAGTGAAAATTACCATAAAGTACAGTACACATAGTATATACTGTCTACACTAGAACAGGGGTCCTCAACCTACGGCATGCGTGCCAAAGGTGGCAAGCAAGCAGACCTTTTTTTTTTTTTATTTTTAAGGCAGGCTGCAGGTCCTGGCCACCACTGAGCCTGCTGCTGGCCTGTGATTCCGTTCACTCAGCTGCCAGCCAGGGTCCCAGCCGCCGGCTCCGCTCAGCCTGCACAGCCCGCTGCCAGATGGGGTCCCGGCCGCCAGATCCGCTCAGCCTCCTGGCGGCCTGGGTGAATGGAACCCCAGGCCAGCAGGAGGCTAAGCGGGGACGTTGGCTGGGACCCCGACTGGCAAGGGGCTGGCAGCCAGAACCTCAGACTGGCAGCGGGCTGAGCGGGGCCGGCGGCTGGGACCTCAGCCCGCTGCCAGCTGGGGTCCCAGTCGCCGGCTCCGCTCAGCTTCCTCCCAGCCTGGGTGAACGGAACCCCAGGCCGGCGGACGGAACCCCGGGTGAACGGAACCCCAGACTGTTCACCGAGGCCGGCAGGAGGCTGAG